TCCGGCTCCCTGCCCGTACCCACCGTCGATCTATTTCACGGGATGCGTTTAGGGTAATGAAACGCCGACATCGAAAAATAGTCACTCTGGCGTTTAACGCCGCTTATGCCGCCCGCCGCGCGTTATACATTACACGCAGTCCGCGATATCACCGAGCGTTGAAATTACCGCCTTGCCATCCCATGCGTCACACGCACTGTAGAACGAGCCGTCCATATTATCGGTATCGTCACAATACAAAATTAAGATAACACTTTAAATCTAGACGCATCCTAATGTGCTTAGCGATATCTATTCGATACCGCTCGGTGATAAAAAAATCCACGCAGTAATAATCACTCACTCGCATTCCTTGGGCTCTGTTTTTTCTTTGTTTTTGTGATATGGATATTTGTTTCGTCATATTTATCGCATGGATTAAAGCAATACATCGCGATGGAAACTTTGAAAACTTTTGAAGAACGCAATTGCTCTGTGATCAATTTTAATATAAATTTTAATATGATATAAGATATATAATAAGAAAACTAATGTATTTCTTTCTTTCTTTGATCAATTATATATTTCAATCGAAGATGGAGAAAAAGAGAGAATAACTTTAAAAGATTAATTTTTTTACATATATTCACACACATTCTCTGCAAAAAAAAAAAAAAATGGAATTGATCGCGCAACATGCAGCAAAGTTCCGGGACCCATCGTCATAACAAACCAGGCATCAATTCAATAACTGACGTTGCAATCTTTTGGTGTAATTAGATCACGATCTTGCGGCGCGTAACAGAAATCGAACGCGCGGATTGTTTCGTAACTGAGAGCCAGCCTAATAATGGGACGTTGCCGAGCCGACGTGATTCGAGGGTCGGCGAAAGATTCGTCCCGATTGCCGTTGGTCGATCGTCTCCCATCATCACGAAGAAATCGGCCCTCTGCAACTATCGGGGCTATGTTTTGCGAAGGCAGTTTGGTCTCGGCGCCGCTGCTGGCGACGCGTTCCTTCTTTCTGATTTCTCTTTTTCTCCCTCTTTCTTCTTCGCCGTCTTCCCCCGGTGCCAGTCCGATGTGGAGTCCCTTAACCCAAACCATTATCCGTATACCGCACGATTATAGGGCAACGGGACCGACAAACAAGCGTGGGTTAATCCATAGGCGCCCGTAAGAAGGGACGTCTCTGGGGGGACGTTTTTAATTTCTATGAATCACGTTTATCTCTCAATAAAAATAAAGCGTCACCTGGAAGAATATTATATATATATTTCCTCCATATAATTGGAAATTTTTCAAGAAATTAAAGAATCTTCTAAATCGAAAACATATGTGTATTGATTGTAATCGTCGAATTTTCCCATAATTAAAATTATAATCTAGTCAAGATTTTTCGTGCATCATAAGCAGAGAGCCGTATTCTTATGTATAACACGCGTTTCAAGTTAAATACAATTATACAATAATATTATACTTAATATATACAATTCGAGAGATTTTCATCTATTGAAGGATTTATCGCTAAAATTGCATGTTTTATTATTACTATCAATAAGAATAATATAAGAATATTATTCTTTCTAAAGATATACACTTATCGTGTCCCGAAATAGCAACGTTTTTGTAGTTGAAATCTTCCATGCCATCCGATGAAAATTTTTCGAACGGGGAGATGCATCTATGCTTCCTCCTGAAATATTACCTTTGGCGCCCATGCAGAACACCCCCGGCGTAGCCCGTTCTCCGCCCTGCATGCGCCAGCACCAGCACATACGGTCCTCAACTACGCAAACAAACTCGTGCACCAGCTAACAATCTGCCTCTCCAACCGTCCGTCACGTTTCCGTTCTCGTCGTTTGCAACGCGCTACCGCCAGTATTCCCGCGTTCGAATCGCCGTCAAGTTCTATATCTTTCAAACGTTCACATTTGATTAGGTTTATATATTATTCTCACTACATTTTATTCAATAAAAGAGAAAACAATAACATTATAATTTAGAATCGAAGTAAAGAAACGTTATTAATTGTTTGAATGACCTCTTTCTTTCCTTACTTCATGGTTTTCATTTTCAAATATCTTCATAGTTAAGGGGAAAAGCTTGTCTGTTTTACCGACCATAATAATTAATATTTGCTTAATATAAAAGTTTTGCTGTTTGTATGCGCAAAATAGAATAAAAAATTTAAAAATTACAGTTTTGTTATCGGCTTCTGCCGTCAACATTTACTTAATATAAAAAACCTGCAACTTGCACGTGCCTAACAAGTGAACTCCGCACTCGGCATTTTATCAAAGAGTATTAGTGAACTTCGAGAAAGTGAGTTTAGAAGCTTTTTAAAAAAGATTTTACTATGCAACATTTTGCACACCGAAATGTTTCTTACTAGGCTTTCAAATACATTTTCAAACGTTTACTTATATTCCTTCATGCATTTCCGAGTGGAGAGGTATCCTATTTTGCACATACACACCGCAAAACCCTTATATTAAGCACATATATAATTATTATGGCCGGTAAAACAGGACGGTCCGGCATCCTCTTAAATCATTTCAATTGAATGTGTTCGTTAAATTGAAATATTCTTGAAATTGAGAAATATGATTTTGATGCTTATTTCCGCACTTCAAAAGCTCTCCATCTTTTGCAATTATAAAATTATTACCTCCTTGACAGAGTTTTGCTGGACAAGAAAAACTCGACTTCGAACGATACGCTGCTTACAATTAGACACCATATTTATTTTTGAACGGCATGCTAGGTTATCGACTAAGTTTCCTCGAGTACGCGTCGCACGATTGTAACTGCAGATGGAATACAGATGATACGCTTCAGATCCCTATCGGTAAAATAGCTCGCGCAATATCTCCTTTTCCCTTTTATACCTCTGGATTATCACCCTCCAGTTACCTAAAGTCGATCTTATTCCGGATACGTCAAAGTAATATATGTATATATGCTAGCTTATTATTCCGAGTATCGTTCGCCCTCGTCACCGTGCCACGTTAACAAACTATCTCCGGGCAGATCCGGCGAGAGATCGCGTTACATAATGCGAGAACGATAAGATCACGCCTTGCGTAGGTTACGCGTTTGCATCCTGCGGGAATTAGCGCGTAACATAACGACGACATCCAAGTTCATTCGAGAATGTACGTAGGCCACGCACAAGCTCGCGCGTTCGCTCGCATTTAGTTCCGCGAACTGTAAAGCGACGCGCGAACAAGTCGCCGAGAGCATCGGAGTCGAGCGAGCTGTCAGCTATCAGCTGTTACGGTCGCGTCTTTCTGTCGTCGGTTCTACGACGAGATCCCACGTCGTCCTACACACCGGAAACATGGACGAGTCGTCGACGGCAACGTACTTGGGTTTAGACCTGAGCACGCAGCAGGTAACAACGACGGCACAGTCGCGTATTTCGAAAATATATAATCGTAAAGATACGAATATATATGCGGAATTGAAACGCGTGAAAGTTCGAACGGCGAACGGCATGTTAATGCACAATACAAACAACACAAATAATAAGTCTAACTAAGAACAAGAGCGAAAGAGAATATATTATAATCTCTTAAGTCTCTTTTTTTTTCAGATATCTTAGACTGAGTTTTAGTTCTTTTAGGATGCTCGTATATATATAGTTACGTTGAAGTTTCGGTAACCACGTGGAATTCGATCGATCCAATTACGCGATGCAACGGTATTCATTGACATAACAGTATAATACTTTACATCTTATTTTAACAATCTCGACAACTTTACGAAACATCTGTGTTGTTCACTCACGCTTTTTTTTTTTTTTTGGAGAGGCGGAATTTGCTATAAGATAATAATGATAATAATAATAAAATAATGAGACGATGTAAAATGATACGTAACGTAAGATGTTTAGTTCTTTTAGGATGCTCGTATATATATAGTTACGTTGAAGTTTCGGTAACCACGTGGAATTCGATCGATCCAATTACGCGATGCAACGGTATTCATTGACATAACAGTATAATACTTTACATCTTATTTTAACAATCTCGACAACTTTACGAAACATCTGTGTTGTTCACTCACGCTTTTTTTTTTTTTTTGGAGAGGCGGAATTTGCTATAAGATAATAATGATAATAATAATAAAATAATGAGACGATGTAAAATGATACGTAACGTAAGATGTTTTTCTACAGCATCGGAGTCGTCAAAGTTATATCGGTTTCTTGAGGAAAGGAAATCTTTCGTGGAGAGTAATCATGGAAGAATTTTTCATTAGGTTCATGATATCTGACTTGTGATTATGCAGAGAATATTATTATTTATTATACCCGATGCAGATTTTGTTTTCCAAGAACGATATCACATCGGATGTAATTAAAAAAATAATAAGATGCGATGATTTCCATACTGATCATCTATGTGAGAGTTTGTGAACCGAGAAATATCTTTTATTGCAGCATCCACATATATTCTTCATTCGTGATTTTCACAAATTTTTTCCTTCAATTATTATACAATTCAATTATCGATTGCTTGTTTTATTATATTTCGTCTTCCATGTCTCTATTCATTTTGAGAGCGATAATCTTACAAAGTATGTTTACGAATTTCATTATCTTCAAATAGTGATGACCCGAAAGTTTTTTCAACGCGCGCGTGTTACCCGTTTCACAAAGCGTGTCAATATAATGATCGTTTTGTAAAGTATTCAACGGTTCTATGCAGAAAAAACGAGCGAGTCGAAGCGTCACGAGGCGCTCTGACGTTGCCGGGTCATTATTATCTAATGCACGATAACACACGAACCGTTTGATATTCGCGAGGGAAGCATATCTGCAGAATGTGACGAGATACAGAAATATTGAGCCGATAATTAATATCGTGGGGGCACTTCAAAGAATAAATGAAAATAGTTGCACGTGCGATATTATGTATAAAACATAATAATGTAAAATTTGGAAAAAAAAATAGAATACTTTCGAAAATATATTTTAAATGTTGAATTTGCGTTTGATTCAATTTCAGCTGAAAGCGGTAGTAGTTGATGATAATCTAACCGTCCTTCATGAGACTAGTGTACAATTCGATAATGATTTACCAGAATTTAGGTACGTTTAAAGAGATCTGAGTAAAAATGTAGTTGCGCGCATTTTATGTTATAATATGCGAATATTTAAATATTGTAGGACTTACGGAGGAGTTATACAGAAGAAAGAGGAACCGCATGTCGTGGTAGTGCCTTCTTTAATGTGGGTTAAGGCCTTAGATATGATACTTGATAAATTACGCGTCTGCGGTGTCGATTTTAGTAAAGTGGTAGCAATATCTGGATGTGCGCAGGTAATGCATATATATGTAATACTCAACATAATATCGATTATTTTAAAAATATACCACATAAACCATCAAAATAAACACATAAATGTACTATAATGTGTATAATATAGTTCTTTCTACATTTCTATGTACACTTAGCAACACGGCACAGTTTATTGGGGCAAAGGCAGCCAAAGTCGGTTGCAGTGTTTAAATCCCATAAAATTTTTATACGAACAATTTGCTACGTCCTTTTCCGTGACTCATTCACCCATATGGATGGATTCCAGTACATCGAAAGAATGTAGCGTTTTGGAGGAGATCGTGGGTGGCCCTCACGTAAGCATCCCTGCTTATTTATCTGTGGAATATATAAGGATAGATTAAGACAAATATACACGCATCTTCAGCCTGTTAATATATGTTAAAGTTTATAATGAACGCATACGTTTATGGTCTAACATTAGCTTCCACAAAAATTTATTTCTGTGATGTAAAATATCGTAAACGACTGACTGATTCTATAAGTATGCGAGAATGGATTGGCCAAATATTTAAAGTAGTTGTCTTAGAATTAGTATACACACGAGTTCTTTAGATCGACAATATTTATCCACGCAGCGTGTGATTTCAGAAATTAGCGGAAATAACGGGTTCGCGGGCGTACGAGAGATTCTCGGGACCGCAGATAGCGAAAATAGCACGCACGAAGCCGGAAGCCTACTGTAACACTGAGGTATTACCTACTAAAAACTCGTGGCTTCCTTCGAAAAAATGAGAACGGCAATTGACCGAGGTATTCGTTACGTATGGTTATACTGATTGAACTGTATTACAATAGTGTGTCTCGCTTCTGAATGTATCGTTGATAATTTTACAAAGTGTGTAAACTATAGAAAGCATTTGTAACAATTAATAATCGGGAGTTTGCATTAACTAATAGTCGATTTTATTCGCGTTCTTATGATTAGTTACGTATTTTTATTTCTCTTTATTTCACGGTTCTAGTAAAAATTTACTATCTAAAAATTTCTGTGACATAATCGTGTTTTGTGTGATTTAACGCCTCTAATTATATCTCGATGATCAAAACTATGCATCATACGTTTTGTGCTGCTGCTTCTGGAACGCGTCTAAGTCGAATATTATTTTATACGCATGCTATTTTTTTTTAGAGAATCTCGTTAGTGAGCAGCTTTCTCGCCTCCTTGTTCCTGGGCGATTACGCACCTATCGATTGGTCAGATGGCTCGGGTATGAATCTGTTAAATATTCGTACGAAAGATTGGGATGATCTGTTATTGGAGGTAAAATCACATTGTATATACGCTTGTACGTATGTTTAATGTTTGCGATCACTATATATTATATATTTAATAGACTTGTGCCTCGGGACTGAGAGAAAAATTGGGTAAACCTGTTTCATCATACAGTGATATCGGTCCTATATCGCCCTATTTCGTGGAGAGATTCGATTTTAAAGAGAAATGTAGAATAATTGCGTTTACCGGAGACAATCCAGGGTCCTTGGTAGGTATGTAATATTATCTGTGTACATATATTTAGCAAGGTGTTTGATACAACGTAAACTGTAGGATATTATTATACTCATGACAAAAATGACATAGGTATGAGGTTAAAAGAGGGTGATATCGCTTGCAGTTTGGGTACGAGCGATACTTTATTCTTGTGGTTGAACGAACCAAAGACCATAACGGATGGCCATATATTGTGCAATCCGATAGACGATCAGGCTTACATGGCACTGCTTTGGTAAGTATGTTTTATTATTATTATATACTAACACACACAAACGATAATAATTTTATATAAACAGCGATAATTTTTGTACAGCTTTAAAAATGGTTCTTTGACGCGTGAAAGGATACGAAACGAGACTGCACAAGATAGTTGGCAGATATTTAACGAATTATTAGAAAGCACGCCTCGAGGAAATTTTGGCAACTTTGCGTTATATTTTGATACACAAGAGATCCTGCCTTTCGTCATCGGTGACTATAGATATAATAAAGCCAATGATGAAATCTCTCGATATAGTTCAAAAGAAGTAGAAGTGAGAGCATTGATTGAAGGTCAATTTGTCGCAAAAAGAGCACACGCTGAAGATTTTGGATTTGTCATTGGTAAGTATTTTTCGACAAGTCATTATTTCATATTCTTATTTTACAAGTATTTCTGATATTTTTTCTTATAGGGCCTAATACACGAATTATTGCAACGGGCGGGGCATCTGTAAATAAAGCTATACTGCAAGTGCTTTCCGATGTGTTTAATTCACCGGTATATATCTCGGTAAATATAGCGAGCGATAATCTCATTATTATTATTAGAAAAATTTAATATATGAAGATATTAAATATTTCTTTTTTATAACTTTTTTTATCCAATAGGAAGCAACTAATTCGGCTATGACGGGTGCGGCGTATCAAGCCAAGTATGGTTTGTTACGGAATAATTGCAGCTTTGATGAAATTACACATTGCTTGCCAGAATTGACACCTGTATGCCAACCTTACGATGATGCCGAATCCGTAAGTAAAATTAGTTTTTAAATATCTTTTTTTATCATAATTGATGTATTATATTTGATGTTTTTAGATTTATAAACCTATGACGATACGTTATCGCAAGATTATAGATCAGATATTGAAGAAGAAAAACGAACAGAAAAGCAAATGTAAATCTTGTATATAACAAAATATTTTTTTAAAAAAAGAGGCCTTTTATACCTTTGTATTGCAGAATAAATACAAAGCGACTAACTTGTTATGCTCTTCGATAGATACAATACAGTTTTATATACATATATTTTTAAATTATTTAGGATATATTCAATATAAAATTTATACGTAATATATATATATTTTAATGTATATCAAATTATGTAAGTTCATAAGTGGAAAATATTTTATATGAGAATCTCATAATATTTTATACAAATGTATAAAATATTTTCGTAACATTAACTTTTTATCTGATATTGTACTAATATATCATCACAAAGGTTTTTTAGGTTTTTTAATTTAACTTCAAAAATGAAATAATTGTATTTTAAAAAATATATAAAGTAACCATAAGTGCATATATTTTTCTAAATTATGTTGACGATTTAATATTTGGTCTAAAATTAGTAATTTTAATAGTTAATAATATGTGCATCAATGATAAGTAGGTTTTATTCTGATTATTGTACAAACAAGAAATGCAAGACTAAATATGTTAAAATTTAAGCCCAATTCTTCCAAATTGTGAAAGAATCGAGTTTAAAAATTATAATGAAAAAAAAATCATTTAAAATGTAATATTTATTAAATTTATGTTATAAATGCATCTTAAATAAAAATGCAATATATATTTTAATGAAATAATAATTCTTGTATCTTATAAGATAATTTATATATATTCTTAATTTTATATTTTATTCATTTACTTACTTTTTCATTAATTTACTTCTTTCTACCACCTCTCTCTTTCGGTAGCAGATTGATAACGTTACCCGATGTTAAATTATAATAAGCAAGAGTATTGTTATCTTTGAAAAACATTCCCTGGAAACAGAATCGCATTAACATAACCTAATATTCATTAGTAATCATACATATGTGTAAAAAGTTTATCAATTATCATTACCTCATACTGCAGCTTTTGTTTTCCAGGTGGCATGCCAGTTTGTTCATGAATAAGCGCTTTCATAGTTGCCACAGTATCGCTTAGTTGTAAAGTAATATTCAATGTTTGACCATTCAATTTCCATTCAGCTTTCTCTGTCATCATAGGCACAGCGATGTTAACTTGTACAGGTCCCTGGAAAAAGAATAATTTTTTTTTTTTTAGAAACTCAGTCACAATTCAAACTCTTTGATAAATGTATGTAAATGTATGTAAATATTTTCTTTACCTTATTTCTAGCAAGGAACTGTTGCTCTGGAATTAATGAGTCTTCAGTTCTCAGTTTCTTAGCTTGCGGTTCTTCTTCCAGTGGTTTACTAGCAGGATGTTTTAACCCAATCTTTGAAGAAAAAATATAAATTGAATCTTAAAATATAGGAAAGCTAACGAATTGTACGCGAATATATTTTATAACAAATTACTTACAGGGGATGCCATCGGTGGCTGCATCGGTGGTGGCGCCGGCATAAACGGTGACATTGCTGGAGCTGCGACAGATAATTTTATTTCGATTAGTGTTTTATCTATATGGAAAAATACCGTTATAGAATATTTCTTGAAATATATAAATATAAGTAAAAAAAAAAGTTTCTTACGCATTAAAGGTGGTGGTCGAGGTGCCATAGGTGGCATAGGTGCCATCATCATCATCGGCGGCTGTGGCATCATCGGCTGAGGTATGCCCATAGTTGGCATACTCATGGTCGGTGGTGGAGGAGGTTGGGCGGGCACTGGTATAGGCTTTGGTGCGGGCGGTTTCGGAGGTGCTTTCAACGTAGCTTGTGGTTTCGAAGCGGCGGCAGCCATGTGGGAAAGCTCGGTTGCGCGATTTACAGGTTTTGGACCAATTTTTTCCTTCTCTTCGTCAGGAAGGAGACCCTTGACCTTATGTATCTGATGAATTTGTTCTTCCAGTGTGATATTGGCGCGCGCGGCTCTCGTTGCTGCCTCTACACTCGACGTGTGACCATCCCATGTGACTTTATCATCCTTCTTCTTGTCCTCTTCACCGATCTTCTTACCGATCGCCGTTTCTTCGTCGCCGACACCGAATATATCGGTACGCCTCTCGGCGAGTTGTTTGAGACTTGCCTCAATAGCTGTGCCTGGCGCAAACACAGTCTCTTGCGCAAGTTTGTCCAAATGTTTGTCTCTTTGTTCAACCCAGCGAGGATCCAACAATCCAATACGCATATGCTCTTGCACTTTGTTAGCAGAAATGTGTTCGCGTGTAAGCGGCGAAATCATCAAATACTCATCAGAAGCAACAGGACGAGTAGTTTTAGCAGCTGTAAAAATATATTGAGTAAAATTTTGATGTATTAGAACGATTAATGAAAATTAAATAATGGTAGAATATATTTACCATGTTGTTTTGGATCGTATCCTTTCTTAACCATAACATTTCCTGGTGTAGGCGGTAATGGAGGAGGCTGCATGCTCGTTTCGCGTGGTTTGGATTCTTTAGATTTATGAGTATCACCTGGCGGAGATACGTCGTCTTCGTCACTGGAATCTTCCTCCATATCTTGCACCTTGAAATATTAACGAAGAGCGTTACAACACATAAATTTATCTATGCACATAATAGATAACTTACCTGATTATTATCTTTCGCACGATCGCCTTTTTCACCGTCTGTGCGCGTCTGCGTTTCTTCTTCTGCATCACTATCGATTTGCATTTCCACATCCTCACCATCTTCTATACGTTCCTATTAGTTTTTGATATAAATTAATATATTTAATATATATTTTATAAACCAATAAAAAATAAATGAGGATTCTAATCACAAAGTTATGATCATACCTGCATTAGGACACGCGCTCCAACTTCGTCTGGTGTCGTCGGCGCTGGGAAATTGCCGACTTCGAATTGTTGATAGTCCACAGTTTCAACCACAACAAAATCATGCCAGTCAATTTGCGCATATGCGACTCTCTCTCTTTCTAATTCCTCTTCCTCTTTACGTCTTTGTGCCTCCTGATATTTTAAATACTCGGCGCGGTATTTCACTTGCTCCAAGATTTTATCCATATTAAATGCCTCATCTTTGAGACGCGGCAACAAATCCTTGGGTGGAATCAATACCTGTGAAAATATTAAGATTTGTTATTCACTATTTACAAGCAAATGTCGTATTTAAAAAGAAAAGATAATTATTTATCTTTACCTTAGTATATTGCTCCAAAAGTTTAGTAAAATATTGAAACAAAGAATGCTGGGGACGCAAGAAATCAAATTGGAAATTTCTTTGTTCGCGATTCATTAGATTGGTCAAGAACTGCCTCCCATTACGTGCAACGAACTGGGCAGTTAGCTTCACAATATCTCTGAAAAAAAGATACAATTTTATTTGCTGAAACTAAAATGTTAATTATATATAATAATTATTACATACAGATCTAAAGCCGATATAGATGGAGGATCTGCGATGAATTCAAATTCAACTGGTGGATCTTTGGGCACAAACGGTTGTTCAACTTGCTTCAAAATTTCCTGCTGTTTCTGATGCGCGGTAAGATTAACAGTTTTTCCAGCAGTTAAACCTACTGTAGGCTCCTGCCCTTTCCCTTCCTTAAACTCCTTTACTTTATGCTGATAGTAAGCATGATAGGGATCGCCAAAGTTTAAGAAATTAAATTTGGGATTGCCCAGTTCATTCTGTCTGATCCTAGATTCGAACTCCGGGCCATTCCTAGCGACGAAGCTGGCGGTTTTGTCAACAATATCTGAATTTCTGTATAAGGAAAAGCACACTTAAATAACTATCATCTCTATCGAGAAAAAACAATATTGAACCAGAACCGGGACGGTATTTCAAATGTATCGTATATGAAATATATTTGTCGTGTCGATTTCTTCCCAGTTTTGTAACGAATATTTGTCAAACGTTTCTCGCGCAATTCGATGATGTTTCTGACAAAGGATACTCCTAACCTCAGGGGGCGGATAAATGATGCCTACAATCGGCTGCGAAGAAGGAACATTGTTCTCTTCAATCTCGGTGGCCGGCGGTTGCGGCACTGCGACTTCTTGCGCAGGCATTTTGCTTGTAACCGGTGTATTTGCGAAAATCGCATGTTCTATACCATTCTCACAAATAGTCGCCATTATGGACAACGGAACGGACTGAATTACAAAGCGATCACAACGGCATCACAAGTTTGTCGTTTTGCTCGACAAGCTTATTGAAGTTAATCATTAAATTGTCGATAAAATAGAGTTCATATTTATCGATAACTTTATTTTATAGATATTCCGACAAATTATCTATAACAAAAAGAAATAAATCGTTGGTGTAATTTTATTGAGTGGCGATAAAAGAAGTATATATATATACTTATATATTATTATGTAACGATTATGTATATATAATATACTCCTTTACTTTATGCTGATAGTAAGCATGATAGGGATCGCCAAAGTTTAAGAAATTAAATTTGGGATTGCCCAGTTCATTCTGTCTGATCCTAGATTCGAACTCCGGGCCATTCCTAGCGACGAAGCTGGCGGTTTTGTCAACAATATCTGAATTTCTGTATAAGGAAAAGCACACTTAAATAACTATCATCTCTATCGAGAAAAAACAATATTGAACCAGAACCGGGACGGTATTTCAAATGTATCGTATATGAAATATATTTGTCGTGTCGATTTCTTCCCAGTTTTGTAACGAATATTTGTCAAACGTTTCTCGCGCAATTCGATGATGTTTCTGACAAAGGATACTCCTAACCTCAGGGGGCGGATAAATGATGCCTACAATCGGCTGCGAAGAAGGAACATTGTTCTCTTCAATCTCGGTGGCCGGCGGTTGCGGCACTGCGACTTCTTGCGCAGGCATTTTGCTTGTAACCGGTGTATTTGCGAAAATCGCATGTTCTATACCATTCTCACAAATAGTCGCCATTATGGACAACGGAACGGACTGAATTACAAAGCGATCACAACGGCATCACAAGTTTGTCGTTTTGCTCGACAAGCTTATTGAAGTTAATCATTAAATTGTCGATAAAATAGAGTTCATATTTATCGATAACTTTATTTTATAGATATTCCGACAAATTATCTATAACAAAAAGAAATAAATCGTTGGTGTAATTTTATTGAGTGGCGATAAAAGAAGTATATATATATACTTATATATTATTATGTAACAATTATGTATATATAATATGTAAGTAATTTATAAAACTAATAAAATATAAATTTATTTTGTAAAGAAATAACACTGAATCTATCAACTATTATATATATACCCAGTAAGCAATTTAATAACAAATTGTTGCCAAATATGTCAGCAAGCTTTGCTCGGTTTCTGCCGCCAATTTGTTGTCTAGTTATGTTAGCAAGCTTTGTTTGGTTTTTGCCGGCAATCTGCCAGCTTAATCGGTAATAACAACTCTTGCACCAAATTTGTAGCCTTTTTGCTGACAATAATTTGTAGCAAGCACTTGGCAATATCTGTTAGAACAGACGTGGCTGACTGGGTACGTATCTCTTATTATGAGATCTATCGTCTATACTTCTTACATTGCTTTTTCACATTTTTATATATATCTTTTGAAATATTCGTGTACAAACATATGCCGGAGAAAGGAAATAACAAAAGTAATTATGTGTTTTCTTTGAGATCATATATATTATATAATCGTGTTTTGTTTCAAATAAGAGAAACCTTTACATATACCTACCTACATACGTTGCTAGCTCATATTGAAGTGCGCTGCTCCGGGTGATCGTAACGTATCGTTTGATAGTCACGCGACATCGTTGGCAGCCGTGGACACGGTAGCCTCGGCAACAGGCATAAATTCAATTCCGTAAACACAAGCACGAATTGTCGTGTGCCGAGGGTTACACGAAAAAAAGCCGCCCGCCCGATGTATGAAGATGTGAATGCACCGCGACGGCTCGCACTTCCTTCCGCGTTCGCCCGAAAGTTTCACTCTCGTGCAAAGATCTCGCGTCTCGGGATCGCGTCATCGCCGTCATCGCCGATCATCAAGTTCCGTCATCGCCGCCGTTGCGACGATGTCGGAGAAGAAGACCGCTGAGAAAGTCTCCGAGATTGATGCTCACATTAGCAAACAATACGATATCGTGAAACGTCTCGGCAAAGGGGTAAGTTATTTTTTTCTTTCCGTACCACTCTCACCTCTCTTTATTTCTTTCTTACCTCCGGGGAAATTTACGGTTAAAGTGTGGTCGCGAATTTGTATCTTTTATTATCAATGAAAGAAATATTTGCAGCTTCGTATAAAATGCACCCGTGTAAATTATAATCTCCCACGTGTCTGAAATTACATTGCATTTTATTTGCATACATTGCGATGCGTTATTTTTTTAAATATGGAGATTGCAGGAGAGACGTGTGTAGTTGTGAACTATATAAATATTTCAAACATGAATTGTAGGAGAGACGTATGTAGTTGTGAAGTATGTACATCGATATTTCAAATACAAATATCAATTTTTTTATTAATTGAAAGTAATATATAATTTGCTCTACATTATTTGAGATTTCTGTCAAAAAATAAAAAAAATCATCTCTTATCTTATCAAAATTATTTATGACTATACAATTTGCTTAGACTCAAGTTTCATGTTTTTCTCTTTTAGGCAATTTTTATTATATATATATTAGATATATATATTAAAATTATTTCTTTAAAGATATCTTTTTATATCAGTTTTTTGAGTAAAAAGATATTAGGACATGCATAGTGTGATACACGATGATAAAAACTTTCATTAAAGCTCTACAGTTCGCGAGGAATATCAATAATCGTCATGACTGTCCTCTTCGTCAGGAAAAGTTGCAGATCGATAGCGATGCGGTTAAAAGCCGTCGCCGTCGCAACGATGACAAACGGATCATGGTACCATAAGTCGACTTTTGTCAGACACGTATTTGCGTAATTTAAAACTTGATGGCAGGCTGCAAGGCAATCTCTCATTTATATCGTAATAATGCAAATTGGTATAATGCAATATTCATGCGTTGCGCTTGTACTCGTATTTCGCGGCATAATCATTATTTGACAGAAATCATTTTCAATTGTGAATATACAAAAGACAAAATGAAAGAATGAAAAATCCGATGAAACAATTATGTTAATATTAATGTACATTTCTTCTCCTTTATATGATTATATATTAGTTATTTTGTTTCCTAGAAAATGTGTAGTAGTTTGTAATTGAAATATAGATAGGATTCAAAAGTTTGTCATTTCTTTATGTAAATTTCCTGTAACCTGATAATAATAATAACGTTTAATTTTTTACACAGGCTTATGGTATAGTATGGAAGGCGATCGAGAAGAAAAGGAAAGACACCGTCGCGGTGAAGAAGATCTTCGACGCCTTCAGAAACCAAACGGATGCGCAGCGTACATTCCGCGAAATTATGTTCTTATTGTCGTTTGCCAATCATGAAAACATCATCAAGCTGATCGGGCTTCACAAGGCGAACAACGATCGGGACATTTATCTCGTTTTCGAGTACATGGGTACGTGAGTTTTACTCAATGCGAAGAAAAAATCGTACACACATATACACATGAAGGATACATCACGTGCATCGATTTTCAAACTTTTGGCCTGACACATTTCGACCTATTTCTTTAGAAACCGATCTTCACAACGTCATTAAGCGGGGCAACATCCTTAAGGACATCCACAAGGTTTTCATCATGTACCAACTCTTTAAGGCAATCAAGTATATACATTCGGGCAACGTTATTCATAGAGACTTGAAGGTGATGCTGAGTCTTACGATTTCAATAGCGTAAAAAGTTTTCTCTTTTCCATAAATTCTTGAGTTCTTAAAAGAAAAAACATCTTTAAAATATTTTCAATTATAATTTTAATTATACGTAAATTTTTTAGTGATTTCAATGCATAGAGTATTCTCTTAGTATATTTTTGAAATAAAAAAATATTTAGAAAAGTAGTTCGTGAAATATATTTTCTTTTCATTTGCAGTTTGTCTTACAAGCTCTTTCATTTTACTACGTGTTATCGTGAAGCAATGTTTAACGTATCGAGCTTTGCGTTATCCTTTTATTGCAGCCATCCAACGTGCTTCTGAATGCACAATGCCATTGCAAGATCGCAGATTTCGGTCTGGCACGTTCGGTGACGCAGATCGGTGAAGGTGACGGCGAGACTGGAAGTGATCCTACCTTAACAGACTACGTCGCCACTCGGTGGTATCGCGCGCCAGAAATTCTCATTGCTTCAAAGAGGTAAACATTTATTTAGCTCACGCATTTCCCTTCGCCTTTTCCGCGCGCCATCACATTTATTTCTCTTTGACATTTTTATGTTCTTTTGCGTTCAGATACTTTCCGAATAAAACCCTCTTGGAAAACATCTACAAATGTCATTTTAAAATAGAATTATTTTTCTTTGTTAAAAATGTATACTTTTTCTTTGCAAAATTAAAAAATTTTTTAAATATTTAGTCAGCAACATACATACATCGTTATACAATAGCTCGTAAATTGGCGTTCTATTCTAATTTATTGGCCAGTTATAATTAATTTTTTATTATTCGCCGTATCGAAAAAATTAATTTAGATTCATAGATTGTAAGCTCTTAATCAGATGATGAAGCAAATCTTCAAAATACTTGATGAGCGCAACTATATACAATAATGAACTGATATATAGAGTTTCAATGTAATTATAGTCTTAACGCGGTATGCAGTTTAGCCAAGTGATATTCTAGTAAACTTGTGGAGTTACCAAAAGTTCTTAACTAAGAAGGTAATCTTGAGACATAATTTACAAGACTTTAGGGGATAATAAGATAATGTACAGATTTCGATTCAGGATGTTATGAAGAGTTACATCGTATCATTTAAGAATAATTATGCGAATAAAAATAAACTTTTTACTTAATCGAGGGAAAAAGAGAGAGTGGCATTACAACTATTAATTTAAATAGAGATTAATTTATCAAAGACAAATAAAAATAGGAGAAAAAATATTGTAACATACATATATCGAAATATTTGTATCGCATATGTGCGCAGACTTTATGACTACTAGATTTCTTTTATCTGCAAAATTTGAACTATTGCGGGAATCGGATTTTATTCACGACAATATAAATGTTTTCAGGTACACAAGGGGAATAGATATGTGGTCCTTAGGCTGTATTCTCGGCGAAATGCTACTGGGAAAGCCGCTCTTTCCTGGTTCATCGACGATAAACCAAGTCGAAAGAATAATGGCGACCCTGCCCCCGCCGACAGACGAAGGTAATTCTTCTCAAAGTTCTTTTGGTAGTAAAGAGATGAAAAAAGAAATGAGAAAAAAAGAGAAAAAAAGAAACGGCTGGACTACTTCCCGATTATTTTTTCAGATCTAATATCGGTCAGCGCCGGTTACGGAACCAATCTGTTGGAGAAAACGCCTAATGGACCTAGAAGAACTCTAAAAGATTTGTTGCCGGAAGTGTCGGAGAAAGCTTTGGACCTTATCAGCAATTTGATAATCTTTAATCCTACACG